GGGTGCATGGAAAGGCTTTGAGGCAGAGGGAAAGAGGTCTGTGCCAGGAGATGGCAAGTCTTGTCATCTTCATGAGCCTCAATGTCCCCATCAGCCAAGAGGAAAAAGTTGTCAGCCACCCACAAGTGTCTCTATCTGAAAGTGGCTTGGAAGATTGGCTACCATCAGGGTGTGAGGAATCATTAGCAGGGAGGCCAAGTTTGGGGAGGTTGAGGTGAGGAGTGGATCAAGAGAAGGATTTTTTTTTTTTTTTTTGAGAATGCAGAGGGTTTTTTTGAGAATCATTAGCAGGGAGGCCAAGTCTGGGGAGCCTGAGAGGAGCTGTGTACCAAGAGGAGGGTTTTTTTGAGAATCCAGAGGCCCTTATTGTCTGCTTCCTTTCTCAGCTGAATCCTTACCCCTGGAGCCCCCAGTAGGGGGCACAGCCGTCATGTGAAGTGGCACTTCTGAAGGGACCTGTGAGCCAGAGCCCTGCTTTGATGGCTGTGGGCGAGAGGGGATCATTTTTCTGATCTGCCTCCATCCTTCCCAGTGCCATGGGAGGCAGACACCAAGTTCTGGGGTCTCCAGCTGCAGCAGCAGCTACAAGCAGAGGCTGAGCACCTGTGGAAGGAGCTGGAGAGTGTGGCAGGACAGCTCCAGTGGGCCCACATGCAAGACAATGAGGGCTTGAAACGCCTGAACTGGGAGCAGGAGGAGAGGCTGCTGGAGCTGAGCTCTGAGGGGAGCAGGCGGAGGTACGCAGGCAAACCCTGGGGACCATGCAGAACGACCTCACCACCATCAGCCCTGCACTCTCCCAGAACCCTGAGCTCAAGGAGCAGCTGCAGAGAGCAGCTTTGTAAAACTGGTGCATCCCACCTGGGGAGACTGTCCTCCTCCCTAGCCCTCCAAGACTTTGTTTCCCCACCTGTTAAGTGGGGGCAGTGTAGCCCTTATGTGAAGTGACACTTGCGAAGGGACCTGTGAGCCAGAGCCCTGCTTTGATGGCTGTGGGGGAGAGGGGATCATTTTTCTAAACTGCCTCCATCCTTCCCGGTGCCATGGGAGGCAGACACCAAGTTCTGGGATCTCCAGCTGCAGTGGGAGGCGTGATTGCTTGTCTCTGTCCAGAACAATGAGAACATGGAGATCACCAGTGCACTTTAGTCTGAGCAGCACGTCAAGGAGGAGCTGCCAGAGAAGCTGGGTGAGCTGTAGGAGATGGTAATCCCCGCTGATTATGCCACTGTAAGGGAGAAGGCAAGGGAGAAGAGAGAGGCAGACAGCTACATTGTACATTGCCCAGACTACTACTTCCTCATCACTGTCTTCTGCCCAGGAGGGCCCCAGTTAGGGTCACCTGCGGCACAGACTGGCCTTCTGGAGGAACAGTGCCTTTCTCCTCCCTGACTTTGGTGCACCTTCCTCCAGCCTGCTGTGGCTGCCACAGGTCAGAACCTGCTGCTGTCTTTTGCTGAGCTCCAGGGGGAGTGAGGTCCTCATGTGTTCATGAAAGAGGCTGTGCAGCCCCTGCTTTGAGCTTTGGCCATTCGAAATGCTGCCTAGCAGCCCAAGGCCTGGGCAAACCATATCCACACCCCCAAGTGGCTCCAAGCATGCGTGACTGTCAGTCTGACTGCACCAGCATCTGTCCTACCTGTTCCACACTCTTGTGTCCGTGGCACCGAGGCACCTTCTCTCCCACATGGCCCCCTAACACCCTGCGCTCTGTTCGGTGACAGACGCCGAAGACCATGCTGCGTCTGTATAGCCACCTGCTGATGACACCGTGTTACCTGGTGGTGTCCCTTGCCCTGGTGCCAGTCTCGCTAGTATAGTGGCACCTCAGGTTCATGCCTCCCTCCTCTGCCTACTGCCCTTCTGTACCTACTATGGATTCTCTTCTTTTTTCACAAGTAGTTTGTTCCCTAGGGCGAAGTGCCCTTCCTGGGGACTGGGATGGGAGAAGGCTGAAACTGGGCTTTTCCTTGAGGTTTGGGGACATAGAATATTGTTGGAATGAGCTTGGTAACTTGGCTCACCCTGCCCTCGGTGATTCTTACAGAAATTGAGTGACCATCTCATATGTTTCTTCCCACACAGAATGATGATGCTAGCCCCAATCTCATGGATGAAAGTAAGTGAGTGTCTCCTATCAGGGCAGCAGTCTCTAGGCTGAGGAAGTCAGGGAGACTACTGTCTAAGACCTTCTTTCCCATTGAGCCACCTGCACTCCTGACGTCTGTGTCTCTGCCCTTAGGACCTTCTCATCAACCGAGAGCCTGCAACAACTCTCCCAACAGCTCAATGGCGTTGCTTCTGAGGTACTTCAGAAATTGTGGCCCAGAGGGGAGTGCGGGGAGAAGGAAAGTATGATAGAAAGAAGCTGAGGCAGGGATCACAAGAGAGAAGGAAGATCCTGGGACCAGCCGATTTGCTGGGCAATGTTGAGGAAGTTGCCTCTTCCCTGAGGCTTCTTCCTTGAAGCTGTTCATATGAAGGAGTTGGACCCTGTGGCTGGTTACATCATTTTATGTAACCTGCTGTAGAAACACCGGATGAGAGCTGCTTGGGAGGGAAGGATGGTGGGGAGATAAGAACCATGAAAGAAGTTGGCACAAAGAGGTTACAGGATGAAGGGTCCAAGTTATGCAGAAAAGAAAATGTTGCCAGTTGCTGGGGAAGAAAGGAAGTCAGAGGGCAGACACTGCGGGGACTGAAGATCTCCATGCGCACCCTCATCTCTTGTAGTCAGCAACACGTATCTATGCGGAGGGTCCTGCATCATCTGCTACCTTGAAGGATCTGGAGGTAAGAGGCCCTGGGCCATGACCCAGTGACGCTGCAGGCCAGCCCTCCAACCTCCTCCCACAGCGGGGGCTGGGTGCCCCTCTGCCAGCTGAGACAGCTCACACACACCCCAACCCTAATGATTGCTCTCTCTACCTCTCCCCTCAATCCTCCTCCAACTCCTCCTCTCTTCATGTGCCTCAGAGCAGATACCAAGAGGTAACAGTCACCCTGGGCTCAAGTTATATAACAATCAGTCAACTGAATAAAACCATCGAGTCATTGGTAAGAGTTCAATGGGGTCCGCTGATTCCACACTGTAAGTCCTGGGCTCCAGTTTCCCCTTGGGGCCCCGAAGAAAGGACTGGGGGTCCCTGATGCCAAGGGCAAATGGGGAGCTGGGGGGCCGTGGCCTCAGCTGGAGGGACCCCAGAGCACAGAGCATGCATCATGGCTCTTCTGTTGCTGCCTTCTTTGCCTACTGTCTCTTCTCCAGACATCCCTGCTCCAGCTCTTGCCACACATGCCCTGGGGTTGTGGCTTCTCAGGGAAGCACTGGCCTGATTGGTTTTCAGGAGCCCTGTATTTCCACCCTGACTCAGGCCCTAATTTGTTCTTTGATTCTGGACAAGCCACCTCTCCTTCTTGGGCTTGTGTTTCCCAAGGAGGTAGAGTTAGAGAGTATCAAAAGTCTCTGTTAGCTCTGAGAGTCCATGATTTAAAGGTCCAGTAGAATGTAAACCTCAGGGCCAAGGGATCCTGTCTGTCCTTTTCTGTCCTATATCTCTGCTGTGAAGAACCATACCTGGCCCGTATGTGCTCAGTCTATGTTTGTTGAGTGAATGCACCTTTCTAAATCATAAGCTGGTAGAAGGGTGAGCTTTTCTCAAACTCCATCTCTAAAGGTTTATGTTATTGTCCTTTCGGGAGAATCCAGATTCAGACTTTCAGTTCTGTGGCTGTGGGCCAAAACCAACAAAGACCCAAATCCTCTGTCCTTGGGAGCTTGAGGAGAGTTGACCAGTTCGTGGTCCCAGTGGGTCTGAGAACTTTGCCTTTAAAATCCACTTCTGGCCTCTGCCTACTGCTTCCTGGCCTGGGGAATAGAGTTGAAGGGGCCACCCTTGGTCACCTTCCTTTGACTCTCCCAAGGAAATAACACATCCAAGAAATTGTGGATCAACTGGAAGTAGTAACGTGATTTCTTTGCTCACAGCATGACCGCTGGGTTTGGGGAGCACTCAGATGTAGAGGCCCCAGTCTCGTCTTGCCCACTCCCAGCCTGGGGAAGGCTTATCCCCCAGATTCCACCTCATCCCCACAGGGTCCCTGATAACCTGATCCCATGGGTGGGCCTGTCCTGGGACATTGGCAGCATTCAGGGGGCAAGTCCCTTGCTGGGCCATCTCTGCCTCCCCCTAGTAAGAGCTCTGTCTTCCTCTTCCTACAGGAAAAGCAAGAAAGCCAGCAAAACCAGGGAGCCCTAAAGAGGCAATTACAGGTGAGTGGAGGGTGTGAAGTTCCCTCCTGTCCTCTGGAGAATGTTGCTTTCCTTCTCTTTCAGCATTTGCTTGGCTTTTCTCCCAAAGGTTCAATCAGGTAACTGGAATTTTGATGTTTGAGAAAGCAGAATTGAATACAGCACTGTATCACACTGAACATGGCTGCCAGGCAGTTTGAAGGTGGGAATCTGGGCACCCATCATCCTTCAACCTGGCGCTTTGACAGGCCTTTAGGCCTTTGGGCCCCATCTCAACCTCTTTCATTCTAGAAGAGGCCGAGGATCTGGCCAGCCATCTGCAGTATTCCTGGAAGCATGTGGGTGAGTTGCAACGGGAGCAGAGGAAGGCAGATAGGGTAAGTCCAACCACCTGCCCCATACCCTGGCAGCCCGGCTTTCCAGATGGAGGAGTGAGGGACCTTTAGGTCCCTTCTGCAGGATGGAGTGTCCTGCCCAGAAAGCAGCATGGGCCATTTCTTGCTGCTTTTGTGCGTGGTTGTTAGAGTCAGCCTGGGGCTGTGTTGGCTGCTGTGGGTGAGTTGGGGGCACTGTTGGGAGCGAGCACTGGATGCAGAGCTCGGAGGCCAAGTGCCTACCCTGCCCTTACCTGGCTGTGGCCTTGGCCAAGTCCTAGGTGGGGGTATGGTACTTGCACTGCGAAGGTACAGAAGAGTATCTTTAGTATGTTACCATTTGTGTAGAGAGAGGGAACGTGTGTGTGTGTGTTTGTGTGTGTACTATGATAATATACATAAAACATGTCTGCAAGGATTTGTAAAAAACTTAGGAGAGAGGAACGGGGTGGCTGGGAGATATTTCCCTTCTGTATTTTCTGAGTTTTGGACTATGGGAGTGTACCCTTCAAAAACTGAACACCAGATTATACCCCTTTCTTTCTGTGCCCCCACCCCCAGCTGTTAAAAGTGGAGGGTGTCCAGCTTCTTGGCGTCTTGAACAAAGAATTGGACAAAATGCACAAAGTGAGGAAGGAATGGAGGGATTTATTGAAACTGAAAGCACACTCCACAGTGTGGGAGTGCACCTGAGCATAAGGGCTCAAAGGCACCGTTAAAGAATTTTTGGGAGTTTACCCCCTAGAGGATTCCATTGGTTACTTCGGGTATGCCCTATGTAAATGGAGAGGATGAAGTAAAGTTACAAAGTCATTTAGCCATAGGCCCCATAGGGAGGATATTTCCTGTTATAGCTGAAGTGTGAACAGGCCTTATGTTCCCTGCCTCCAGATCCTATTTTCCTGCCTGACAGCGAAAAAATGGGCTTAGAAAATCAGATATACCTGAGTGTTCAAATCCCAACTCTGTCTGATGATCTTAGGCAAGCACTTAACCTCTGACATGCCATGTTTTTCAACTACACAATAGAGGTGATAATGGTAACTGCCTGCTATGGTGGTTGTGAGGATTAAATGGGATTGCTAGCATGGTGCCTGGTGAAGCACTCAATAAAGGTTCCAACAGTGGCAGTCATAACGGTAATAACAATAGCAATATTCTCTTTTCTCTCTGGGCCTCTGGTAACCAGCTATAAATTTGATCTCCTTCCCTGTGCCTTCCACCTTTACTGAGTTCTTTGAGAAACAAATGAGACTGTGGGCTTGGAAATGCCTTGAAAACATGTCAGGCGTGATTGAGAGTGAGGAAGTGTTACTGTGGAATAGTCACTGTAGCTGTCGTTCCTGGTCTGCCAGCTGCTCCTCTGCCTGCTGTATCCTGACTTCACCTTTCTGTATTTTCAGTACAACAACCAGTTAACCGGAGACAGTGATGCCCTCAGGCTGAAGTTATACAAGAACAGGTAGGACGGGGGACGGTGGGATGGGAGGTCTGGGGCCCTTAGCATGGGTGATGTGCTGGAAGGTGGGAGGGGTGCAGGTGAGCTTGGTGAGGTGGTCATACAGGTTTGCATGTGTGCACAGGCTAAGCTCTAGTGCTGGCTGTGCCCCTGACTCATGGTATACTTGGGCAACTCATGTCTTTTCTCTGGTGTGCCACCTGTGACTTTTGATTCCTGAGGTCCCTTCCAGTGCCACGGTTCTGTGGTTGTGGGGTGTGGGTAGAGGGTTGATCAGCAAAGCAGCACTTTCTGTTCTTTGTTCATTCCTTTCTCTACTGCCTCTGGCCATAGCAACAGCAATAAGGAGCTGAAGCAGGAGAACTCAGCTTTGGCAGAGCAGCTTCCAGTTGTACTGACTGAGAAGGCAGGGATGCAGCGTAACTTGGAGGAGCTGAAAAAGAAACTAGAACTCACTGACCTCACGCTTCAACAGGCGAGAGGCTGCAGCCCCGGGGGTGGTGGGAGCCCCATTCAGCTGGGGATATGGTCTAGGGATCATGCAGGGTATAGGGAGGCTCCAGCCAAGAGCTGGAAAATTTGGGTCCTTGTTCTGGTCCTGCCATAGAATCCTCTGGAGACTGCTAAAAATCTACAAACTGGGGCCCTGTCATAGACTTAGGGAATCAGAATCTCAGGGTTAGGGCTTAATTTTTTTTTTTTTTTTAAATGCATCATAGATGAAAACCATTATTTTATAGATTACACTTATATGGTTAGCTCATGAGTCTGTTTATTTCCTTCTGAGGTTCAAGCCAACACTTCGACTATTCCATGGTAATAATAGAGTACAGTTCTTGTTTGTTTATCTGTTTGTTTGTTTTGGGATGGGGTCTTGCTCTGTCACCGGGGCTGGAGTGCAGTGGCGTGATCTTGGCTCATTGCAACCTTTACCTTCCAGGCGCAAGCGATCCTCCTGCCTCAGCCCCTCAAGTAGCTGGGACTATAGGCACACACCACCACGCCTGGGTAATTTTTGTATTTGTAGAGACACGGCTTCGTCATGTTGCCCAGGCTGGTCTCGAACTCCTGAGCTCAAGCAATCCACTCACCTCAGCCTCCCAAAGTGTTGGGATTACAGGCACGAGCCACCATGCCCAGCCTGAGATCTCTTTAAAATTATTTTTTATTTCTAAAGCCAAAGCATCTTCACAGTAGAGATCTTTATTGACCAAGTTGTACATTGAGCCTAGCTTGAGCCCTTTTAAGGGGCACTGTGTGGAACGGCCCAGCCTCCTCAGATAGAAACTTCTCTTTCTTTACCATTCAGTTGTCTAGCTGGTGTGAAGGCCCTAATGCTAACCAGCAGTTACAGCAGCCCATGGAGGAATGGGCACAGCTGGAATCTACCTGGGGCAGGTGAGGCTTTGCAGAGGGAGGGATGTGGAAGGAAGGTGACCCCAGGGGGCCAGTAACAGGTGAGGACCAGTGACAGCCCTTCCTGACTTCTGTGCCCATTCTTGTAGGTGATGGAGTGGCTGAAGTATCTGCAAATGGAGAGAGACCAGTATGCCCAGTATCTGCACGGAGAGAGTGCCATGTGGTGGCAGAGGATGCGGGAGATGTCAGAGGAGGTGAGACCTGACCCTTCAGCCCCAACCACAGATAGGTCACTTGATTGTTCCAGGCATCTGTGAAATGGGAGGAGCACAGCCAGAGGGGGTTCATGGGTCTGGGCTTTGTGGAGGTAGGGGCAGAGAGGGAGACGGTAGCCTGTCCAGCCACCAGCCCTGCTCTCCAGGGCCCTTTCCCCCTGTGCTTTGGGCAGGTGCACATGTTGAGGGAGGAGAGGGCACATAGCATGAGTCGAGTACAGGAACTGGAGACGAGCTTGGCTGAACTAAGGAACCAGATGGGTGAGCTGGGGCTGGGGTGACCTGGGAGCAGAACTGGCGTCAGAGGGCTGTGGGGATGGCTTAGAATGCCCCAGGGAGGTGGGTGCATGGAAAGGCTTTGAGGCAGAGGGAAAGAGGTCTGTGCCAGGAGATGGCAAGTCTTGTCATCTTCATGAGCCTCAATGTCCCCATCAGC